TCTAACAGCACCCAAGACCACTGTATTCATAATCAACCTCCCTCTTCAATTCCTATTATTCCTCCTACATCGACTTTCAACTTTAAATTTCCTCTCTCGGCTTCCACCTCAAGTGTCACCATAGCCAACGATTCTAGTGCGCAAAACACTGTCCCAGGTCTACTGAAACCTCGCTCCAAACTACACATTGGAGCCTTCAACGTACGCACCCTATGTCAAATCGGTCAGCAGGCTTCCTTGGCTAAAACCCTAGAGTCTCTTTCCATTGATGTATGCTGTGTCTCCGAAACACGCATACAGGATTCCAGTGTGGTTATTCACTTGACCTCACCTCGGCAAAACGGAGAGCCAACAAGATACACCCTTCGTGTATCTGGTGACCCGATGGCAAGTTCTCGTGGACTGGCAGGTGTAGGCATAGCACTAAGCATGAGGGCCGAACAAGCACTGCTAGAGTGGATCCCCGTCAACAGTCGTTTATGTGCCGTTCGGCTGAACGGCTACGTAAGAACTCGGAAGGATAGGGACACACGTCGTTGCCTTTTTGTCGTTTCTGCCTACGCTCCCACTGACTGCAGCTCAGATGATGTGAAAGATGAAGTTTACAGAAAGCTGTCCGAACTTCTTCAGAAAGCTAAACGCTCAGACATAGTACTCGTAGCAGGCGACTTTAATGCTTAGATAGGTAGTTTAAACCAAACAGAAAGGCATTTAGGTGGATATTTTAGTATTCCGGCACAACGAACAGATAATGGTGATCGTCTGCTGCAACTGTGCTCAGACAACCGTTTATTTTTAGCAAACACATTTTAAGCATAAGGAGAGACATCGTCTAACATGGCGACCCCCTACACCAAACCAACGATGGACTCAAATAGACCATATTGCCATCAGTCATCGTTGGAGAGGGTCGGTAGAAGATTGTCGCTCATTCTGGAGTACCTGCTTGGACTCCGACCATGCCCTAATACGGGCACGCATCTGCTTGCGCCTCACTGGACGCAAAAAAGCCACATTAAAAAGAACCATTAGAACTGAGTTGAGTAACGAGAAAACCAAAAGTAGGTTCCATGAACAACTGAGGTCACGATTAGGTAGTTCTGAAGACGAGGCTGACCCAGATGTTGCTTGGAATGAAATACAAGCAGCTGTGGAAGCAGCAGTGACATCTATTAGCGACTTAAACCACAGAGTTACAAAGAACCAGTGGGTTTCTTCAAAGTCTATCACACTGATGGATTCTCGCAAAATCGTCCCATCAGGTTCCAAACATGATGAAGAGCGACAACAAATCAGATCTAGGTTAAGAAAAAGTCTAAGAAACGACCGTGAGCAGTGGTGGGTAACGAAAGCAAAAGAGATGGAAAAGGCGGCGACTATAGGGAACACAAGACAGCTTTACAGACTAATAAAAGAAACTGGAATTAATAAGTCAAGTGTAAGTGAGATTATTTCGGAAAAAGATGACACTCATCTGCTCCCAGTCCAGGCGTTTAGAACGATGGGCGGAACATTTCAGAGAACAGTTCAGCTGGCCTTCAGCGACTCTACAACTACCCTCCATTCCCAGACAGTGTGAATGGAACATTGAAGTAGGTCCCTCAACTCTAGCAGAAGTCCAAAAGGCTATAGTTAATCTGAAACGAGGAAGGGCAGCTGGTCCAGATGGATTGGCTCCAGAGGTCTTTAAGGATGGTGGTCCAATTTTAGCGATTAGGTTGACTAATATTTTAGCTAAGATCTGGGAATTAGACTTTATCCCATCTGACTGGTCGCAATCACTTATCGTCCCAATATATAAGAAAGGGTCAAAATCATCCTGTGACAACCACAGAGGGATTAGTTTAACTAATATAATATCTAAAATACTGGCCTCGATAATTATCAGACGCCTAACTAGGACTCGTGAACTGCGAACACGAGAGAACCAAGCTGGCTTCAGACCTGGTCGTGGCTGCATCGACCACATATTCACCATTCGTCAGGTTCTGTAGACCGCGAGACTCTGTGGCAGTGTGTCATTGAAAGGCGTATCACAGAAGTACATAAACCTTGTGAATGCTCTTTACTCGAACACTACTAGTCGAGTCAGAGCTTATGGCGAACTGTCATCTACTTTTGCAACTTTAAGTGGTGTCCGTCAAGGCTGTCCGCTTTCTCCATTTTTGTTTAACTTCATCATAGACCTATTGATGGAAATAACACTCTCGTCGACTGAATTCTCGGGTATTGATCTCCTTCCAGGAGGTCCACTTATCGACTTAGAATACGCAGATGACATAGTCCTGTTTGGTGAAGACGCTGACAAAATGCAGAGTCTTCTGGTAGCACTAAGCAACAATGCCAGAATGTTTGGGATGCGCTTCTCTCCCTCTAAATGCAAGTTGTTGCTTCAGGACTGGTCTGCGTCAACACCTGAACTAAGGATAGGGAGTGAAGTAGTCGAACGCGTCGACAACTTCACTTATCTTGGAAGTCTGATCAGCCCTAATGGGTTGGTGTCTGACGAAATCTCAACACGGATTCGAAAAGCTCGATTGGCTTTTGCCAACTTACGTCACCTTTGGCGGAGGCGAGATATCCGTCTATCAATAAAAGGACGAGTATACTGCGCGGCAGTCCGTTCTGTCTTACTTTACGGCAGCGAAACATGGCCTTTAAGAGTGGAAGACACCCGTAAGCTACTAGTATTTGACCACAGATGCCTTTGAAATATTACTCGCATCTGCTGGGTTCACCGGGTAAGTAATATTGAGGTTAGACACAGGGTATTAGGGAATGATGGTAAATCAGTTGATGAGGTTGTGAATCTTCATCGACTGAGATGGTTGGGCCACGTGTTACGTATGCCTGAACACCGATTACCACGACGTGCAATGCTAACCGGTGTTGGAGATGGTTGGAAGAAAGTTAGGGGCGGCCAAACCAAAACGTGGCGTCAGTGCCTGAAGTCACTAACTTGTAGTCTGAGCCATGTTGGTAGATGCAGACTACTTGGTTGGGGTCCGCGTGACTTTCGTAACCAATGGTTGGAGACTCTTGGTGACATGGCTCAGAATCGATCACAATGGCGTCGGTGTATGCACTCCCTGTCCTCCCTTAAACTAAGAGATTAAAATCACTTCATATCTTTCTTTCTACGAACTAATTCTTTCTTCCTATACTATATCCTTATTGCAACCTTTGACCTAACCACTCCTATGAATCCGGTGTTCATCTTGCTGTGCTAATGAGGTATGGCAACCTGGACCGATGCACATATGTCCCTGGTCCTACGTTGTAGCTGACTGACTGACTGAAACAACTGTCACAGAACCCAACGACTATAATCTGAGGATAATATAGAAGAATTAAACAAACTAAGGACGTTGCTACAAAATGGATACCGCAGTAAGTTCATCAAGAAACACGTAACTTAACCTGAAGGCAAGATGCAGTGCCCCCATATGCCCTGGTATGGCCGGGAGTGGGTAGAGTCTGCTCTCCCTCTCAAAATGCTCTCACATGGCCACGCGTATATAGCCGCTGACAGGAAAGTCCTACTCACTGCCTTCCCGCACCAAGGGTGTTGTTTACGAAAATGAGAGGACTAAAAGCAAATGTCCGGCGCTTTAACCGGATTCCAAACCAATAGTGCACATGGGCTCCAGTATCCTGTGGGAACAAATGGCGTATGGACCAATTGTTGGTCACCGGCTACCATGGGACTACATCTCCATACGATGCTCCACTGCCTTGTGGATCAGACCTTCAGGTCGAAGGCTCGGGGAATGGCCCTCTAAGAAAACCACCTGCTTCGGTTTAGGCACCCGGACAGTATCACAGCCCTCACATATACCGAATGAGATGTGTGGCGCATACGTATTTAGTGCCTCCTTGTACCAATATCTATGTATTAAAATAAAAATAAAATAATAATAATTTCCACAGATGAAAAGAAAACTGTAAACCTAAGACTCGGTTCGAAAGGTGACATATCGAGTGAGATTCTAACACGTCGAATGATCAGATTCATTAAAACGACTCTGGATGTCGATAAACTACACACAACTTCCACAAGGAAGCTAATACTGATACAGTAAATTAAGGATAAGATACCGACGATATGCTTAATTATATGTGTTTATCAATTCAACTGCTCATGTGGAGCCAGTTACATAGCACGTACACAAAAGTCTTCATCCTTACGCGCTTGCAAACACGTACCTGAATGACAAAGAAAAGGTCTCACTAAATGTATTAACAATGTTATTCTTTCCCACTTACTCGACCAACGACAACACTCAAGTTGAAGATGGCTACTCAGTTATATATCAAGTCTCTACTAATCTAACAACATGCAAAATCACACCACATATTGGTGAAGCATTTGCTAGCAATCCAAATAAACATACGTCTGCGAAAAAGTTACACAAAACCTGTCTGTTTAGCTTGGCCCACATTAGGGTCGTATGATCATTGGTTTCGACTGTATCCTCCCTTCATCGGATTTGTAAGTGTAGAGACCGATAAGTTGTTGAAAATGATCGTTAGTCTAAGATTAGTTAGTGATTTATACAAGACGTATCTAGACTTTACCTAAAAAGTCAGCACACGGTTATAAATAAGCAAGATTTGTGCTTACGAGTATCACATAAATGGGTTTTGAAATTCCATGGATACTCGTCTTTCTGTCATTCACAGTTTATGGTGTGACGTACGATGAAATCAGCTTGCCGAAATGAAGATAGAAGCTGCTATATCAAGAGGCCTAATATGATGGAAATATTTGATGAACAGCAATGCCGCTTAACTCCAGAAAGTATACCAAAAATCTTAAAAATATCAGTACATATATATACGTAGTAGTGTATTAGCGCCTTATTCGGTCCCTATAAGAACACCCTCTTGACTAAATTGGCTGATTATTTGGGTTATTAAGTGTTAGTAATAACTGTTTATTTTGGAAACGAATAGCAAATCAAATATATCAAAAACTAAATGTTCGTACATGAACTTACGGTGTCATTATATCCCTGATTAATCCCCAGATATAAGGAATGTGGCTTGTGTTTTGAAGTGGACCATGACGTGGATTTCACAGAATCTTCTAAACTAAGACCTCGAATGAGAGGAGGGATGTATCCTGGAGGAATAGTCGAAGTGTTTTTAACATTAGCTCGTAAATCATAACTGCAAACATTCTTGTCAGGAGTAAGGAAATCCATGTCTAGAAATATTTACGGTCTATATACTAGAGGATATGAGTAATAAGTACTCCAGAATCAGTAGCAAATTGACTCCAAAGTACTAAAATCTCACTACTCCTCACCTTCACGATATATATATTATAGGATAGTAAAACAACGTTCAATCCTCAATATCTGTGTGACAAGTTTATATGCTTGCTTCGTGTTGTTTTTGTACAGTGTAGGGCCTTTGTTAAATTCTAGCTGAAGGTGGTTTTCCTGTTTTACTGCACGGTTATAATCAGTGTTGTGACCAGTTGTTTTTATATTTTGGTATTCTGAGTGAATGGATTTGTTCCGAGTTATATACGTTTCTTGATACCACCAGCTATTAAATCATCAGATAGGAGGTTGATTGGTTAAAATATGATAAATAAAAAAGAAAAATTTAAATTCCAAGAGAGAACGACTTCCAAGAAATAAAAACAAGCAAGTTATTTGATGGGCCATGCAGTTTGTAGGGAGATCGAAACGTGAAAACAAAAGAGGAATCGAAGTTAATTATATCAAAGACACTTATAACTTAATTCTGTGCGTTAGTGATAACAAAATTAAATTACGAGACGTCCATCAAACGTAGATGGTGTAAACGCCAGATGGAAATCTATGGGGTGTATACATATTTATGAAGTTGCCTTTTGTAGCTATCCGTTGTGGGCGCTGAGTTCTCTTCATCTGTTAAAGCATCCCAAGTTGGGAATACTGTTGTTGTAAAAAGTGAGAAAGTACCCACTTTTCGATCTCACATACAGATTTATTGTAGTTACCTAGCTCCCAAGCTCTCTTTAGTTAAAAGTGCAATGTAAATTGAAATACTTTTATTGCTTTGAATAATATGTCATCGAACTAATTATGCTATATCAATGATGAGCTTGCACAAATCGGAAGGTTTCTCAGTACTCGCTCCCAACTGCGCTGTCGCCAAGGTGAAACCAAAACAGGGTGACTCATTAAAATACAGTTCTAAATTTCTTTAAAAACGTAAATGTACATTATTAATTTAAGAAATATTACCACACAGTTATTTAACTTGTAATTGTTCAATCAGTAGTCAAGTCTAAATTACACTAACTAGACATGTTGACGACTGATGTAAGACAATCATCATGTGCAGCAAATAAGCGTTATTCTATTCTATCATTTCCGGATAGATCGCGTTATTCAGAATTTATACTACATCTTGTCTCGTCAATTAACATTTTACTCTTTCTCAAACCATGGACCATCGCCGAAGATCTTTTCTTCCGATAGCTGCCTGCCTAATTTTCATTTTTTGGGTTCAACTGTCAAACAACGAAGACGATGTCTCAGAAACTTACGGTGAGTTTAAGCCGTAAAATGTCTGCGATCTTAAGCCCATTTAGATGGTTCGTACGTCGATAACCACGTATTTATCTGGACTCTTGTATTTGTTATGAATCAACCGAGTGACAAAAAGTCAACAGCATTAAACACTCTGGAATTAGTTGCAACATTATGTGTTTAATCTGGGTTTTATTCAATCTATACTATGTCACAACGAGCTTTAATTGTCAAATCTGTTGAACGATTCAAATTCTAAAATTAATCCAGGCGAGTTTTATTAGTTCTCGTAAACTTGTATATATTTCCATCTAGACTAGTCGTATATACTTCGTATGAACCACTTTTAGGACCGTTTTTGGCATAAGAGATACTTAGTAGCCCTATATGACAACATACTACTATGAGGAAGTGTATAATTCTCAGGAAAACAACATTATACTGAACGGGAGTTTAGAACTTTATCACTTTTCATTAAACTATCATATTCGCCATTTCTGTGCGTATCTGAGTTTATGGATTGGACTACCATATCAGTTACCTAGAAAGACGACGAACATAATTCAGATAATAAAGTCGCTAAATTTAGGTACTATCGTAATTCACTGATAATTGATCAAATTATCACGTAGTTGTTAGTCAAACAGGCATTTGAAATCAAAACTCTGAAGCCTACTATTAAAATTAACACCAAGTGAACAAATACTTCTGGATCGCAAATTGTAATATAATGCGGCAGGTTAGATCCGGTGGTGCTACAAATTTTTGCTATTTCAGAACTACCGAAAAGAACAATACTGATTTCCCACTGGCTAATACTCAGTCAACAATATAATTAGCTATTCATAATGATTTCCGAGTAACATCATTAAACATCATGACTTGACAGTCACGTAATATGATTGATGAAACTATTCACAAACTCGGTCAACAAGTTGACTCGTAATTACTATTGAATAGTGTTGTTTTCTCGTAATCTCATACACTTACAGATGATCTTAGTATGTCCTGATTGTCCTACCGGGCTAAATCAAGATTCAGAAGTTCAAGAGTATCCCTTACTTCTATCCGAAGATCTACTTACCAAGCTGAACGATGGTAGGTTTTTCTGAAGTTCAGCTTGTTAGAAGTCACTTTAAAAATTTCGGTGACTTATAAAGGTAAATATTTTCTCACTTTCTATACACACGAGGGTTTGTTACGATATATCCGACTGCCCTACAGACCTTAGACTACGACCTTCATATTCCAGTAAACTACGGCGATCATTTTGCAAGATATTACAGGGGTGGCAGCTTATTTAGATGATACCACAACCATGAGAATAAGCAGAGCATACTTGCAAAAGGGGTTGATCAGGCTCTGTCACTCGTATCTGAACATGGCATTCGTATTGACGACGAAAAGTTTGACATTATTATAACGCGAGTATGATAACCCGGTTTCATAGTTTATAACGACTGGTGGCGACTAGACCCATAAAATACTAAAGCAACGAAAACAATTCCTAGGCAAAGGGGTAGTCTTACTCTACCAACGTTTTTAGGACTGGTTAGCTATCACGAACAGTTATTTCTAATATACATTTTGTTTGTGCTTCACTGAACTATTTATAGGTGGAAATTCAAAATGGTATTGGTTCACGGATTATGAAGCAGCTTTCTAGAAAATAAAGCATCTCCCGGACTCTAATCTTGAACTTATGCATTATGACCCTCATTGATCTACTGTCACTGTTTCAGATGCGTAGGGAGATAACTTCAATCCACCCATGTCTGTAAAACAGAACATGTTGTTGAATTACAGCTCCTTATCATCAAATGGGATGTCACAAACCAATGATATTGATGCTCATTTAGCATGCAACTTACCTCTTTAAATAGCGTTTGCGACATTGATTCGGTTTCACTTCCTACCGAGTAATCCTAGTGAAACCAAAACTAAACAGTTGACTAAAAACGAAGCCAACTCATGACCCTATAAAATCAATAAAAATCAGAATGAGCTGAAGTAGCCTCGATAGAAGATGTGGTAACCATTTGTGTATCAGAATACTGTTTTCAGTATTATATTCTAAAAATATACAGAGTCCTATACTTTCAGCTTTTCGAATCATCTCCATTTATGCAGTTCATCGTCCATTCACACCATATTTACGTTTGTTTACTTTAACCTATAAGAGTGCTGTTGCTTGAAAAGTATCTTAATAAAAGATAATTAGACTAAGCAGTCATACCTTGACTGTTCCATTACATTGTCTGCTCTGCTTCTCATCCTTCCTCTTTCTTACCATCCTTTTCATCCCTTTTGAGATATGACACCGAAAACACATTTGAGATGGATGACTTTGTTTTGCCTAATTTTTAATTCCCCAGAAGTTGCAGAGGGATATAAGGTTGTGGTTTCTAGAAGCTCTCAAATTTACATGGATTTACCACCAGTTGCACTTTGCAACGTAACCTCCATAAAGCGCACCAACTGTCATATTGGCAATACGAGTCTTATCGATATTACCAACATTCATTTGTGAGAAGTGTCATTCCCCATAATTCTATCAACAATGTACCTTATAAAATTCCATCCTAATTGAGTAACCCATTACAGTGACGACCGTATCTTCTGTAACAATTTGATCTTGCCTGTAAACTGGCATGCCCCACGTAACAGAATAAATTATTATTGAGATTTTATTGGGGCAGCCATCACTGTTATCTTTCCTGATGTGTCTGAAGAAACGATCTTACACACAGCCAGAACGTTGAAAACGACAGAATGCGACAACAGCCAAATAGTGAAAGAAGCTATGGTAATCATTTGAGGCGTAAAAGTGTTCCACAAGATGATATTTGAACAACAGTTTCTTTATTGAACATATTATAAATCACTATTGACAGTGTTTTGGTGAAAAAGGGATCCCCTTTCACACGGTTCTCCGGTTAAAACGACGGGCAGCACCACTTCTCCGTTAAGATTTTGAAATCAAGTTTAAATGTATTACAGCTCTGGGACAAGTAGATGGCTTACTGACATTGATAGGTTTTCAGACAAAATTGTCAGAAGACACTCTCAAATGCCAAACCACAGACAAATCAAAATGTCCAAAAACAATGATATAAGCAAACAAATTCAGTTCAGTGGAACGAATACATCCAAAAACACAGTGAAATAATTAACATTTAATATAGAGGTTTTAATCAGCCAAATGTCTTCAGTTCTCCTTTACAATCACCCTAGAGCAAATGAAATAAAATCGTTGGCTGGAAATGATGCTCATCGACTTTTAATGGACAGAGATATCAAAGAATGATGCCATTAATGTTCATCCTGCCTACAAAGTGGTAAAAACCCTTCGGAATGTGGACACAGCAGTATCCTATTTTGCTAGATTCTGAGAAAGACTATATAGAATTATGCTCTAGTTTGGTACTAGTATATTTATATTCGTTACTATAGTGATAGATCTAATCCCAAAATTGTAGATGTGTCATTATATGACTACCTACTCTATGAGATCTTACGTGGAAGTCACAGTATTATATATTCTGACTTGTTGTGTCGTGACAGTGAACAATGCGATGTTTAGCATCTCTGAAGAAGACATCTAGCCTGAGAATAGAATAGTTCATTTAACTTGAGTAGGGATTAGTTACACAGAATGATGGAGCCTTTAAGGCAAA